ATATGCATTTCTTTAATGTGTATCTGTCTTGTCATGTGGGAGAAACTTAAATATATATATATGAAAATATATAATATACATTCACAAGAAAAATGAAATACTCACCAGCTTCCCGTCTGCCTGTTAATAAGAGAACAAGGAGTGACCCATCTGTCTCCTTCAGCTTCCAGGACCAATGGGCTGGATTACAGGGGGGAAAAAGCAAACAGAAGATAAGCACGAGGCAGGAAACCATAGTGCCATGTTCCTAGCAAACATGGCTGCCAAAAGACAGGAAATGTTAGGAACACTATCATCTGGATCTATAGGCTACCATTGCAGAGGAGCTAAGTGAAGACTGTGCCTCAAGGAGATGTCGACTCAACTTCTCCCTAAGAGAGTAGGGGTCCCTTCATGACCCACGCTTTTATACTTCAGATGGAGCTCTTGCCCTTTCCTCCAAAATCTCTTCATCTCTATATTGACTAGTTTGGTCTACACAAAGCTATTGTGGAGTTTACGCCTTTATTGCTCATTTTAAAAACTAGACCCCAGACTGGGGCTGAGATGAGACCAAGTAGTGAATATGGAACATATAGATGTTCTTGAATTTTCTATCCCCAATAGAAGAGTCATTTCTGTATAAAAACAAGCTGACCATTTCTTAATTCCAGAAATGTAGCACAGAATCAAGGAGATGGACAAGCAAGAGGAAGATGCTCCTAACCTATCCGGAGGTAAAGAAAAAATAAGACAAGATATACAGACTTTATGCATCTGGGTAAATAGTGATATTATTTTTCTTCTGCTTATAAATCCTCCCAATAATTGTTGAATTTGTTGAATGACTACACCCGCCTGGAGTGGCCCACAAACTCTGATTTTCTTCTCTCCCTAATGGATGACTTAATAGCAACATTTTATACTTTTAATGTGCCCAGGGAAGAAGGTCATTTTCAGATCTTATCGTTCCCAGAAAACATTACGAGCCTGATGGCTTTTAGTACCGTTCAATACCTGCTAGTTACTCCATAATAGGATTTCTAAATCCACAGGTGGATAAGGACTAAATGAAGAAATTATAATAGGCTTTTGTGTTAATGCATCATTATAGAAAGAATTAACTTTACCCTAAGAGTCTAGAGAAGGAACGCTAAGAATCAAAAAAGAAAATCTATGGATGCAACTACAATACAATTCACAATGAGCCCACAGTCACTAGTCAGTAAATAAGCGGACCAACTTAACCAATCGGTTGTAATTGAATTACAAAGTAAAAACTGAAATCTGATCACCAGGAACCATAAACTGTAAAGAGAAAAACATCAATTCTGTGCAAATAGCTTACAATTCATAGTCATCAAAAAAGCTGGCCCTAGGAAGTCATCCTGCATATATGTTATTAGTTGAACATAGAAACAACATATGCTTACCTGTCGATGTAGTCAACGTCAGAATCAAAGGTTTCCAACCTTCCAGTGATAATCCTTCCATACACATGTATTACTTCTCCTGTTTTAAGAAGCATTAAAAATCTAATGTACTTAGCTCAAACTCCAAATATACAGCATATGTTCTGTTTGTTTTCTGTAATATATTCCCAGCATGGCACAGATGCATAAAAATACGGCTTTTTAAAAAAAAAAAAAAACTGGGGTATCATTTATTTTTAACCTATTCAATAACATTTTTCTGAGCTAGGGTACATCTCTTTCAAAATTGGCTGTACATTTCTATGTTTACAGATGAATTATTACGCTTATATAATCTTTTACTCATTATAAACTCTATAAGACATAAAATTAAATGAGGTTCCAATGTTTAAAAAAGATCTCCACCTCGTCAAAACACACAGTTTCATACAGAAAAATTCATTCCAGGGCTCTAAAAATACTGCTTTTTAATAAAAATATAATTGTAAAGTGAGTATTATGATCCTGTGATTGGTGTTATATTTTAGAAAGGCTAAAATAACCAGTTATCTCAAGCAAAGACTTAATTATCTATAAAATGGCACACAGAAGGAATAATGGATTTTCTTTCCAATCCTGTGAAGAGGGTGGAAGGAGGAACAGTCTCCTCACATTTCTCTTTTTTATTGTCTGGGTCCTGTATAGGCTATCTATCCTAACAATAGTGTGCCTTGGGATGCTTTAACTCCATGAGACTTTCTTCTGGACTTTGCTGAAGTGTGTACGTATGCTATATGTTCTCACACATATGTAATATCTTAAAACATTGGTCACACAGAGTTGAGATGACAGAAGTACTTACCACGGAAGAATCAGTGCAAGGGAGGGATAAGAAAAGGCTGGTCCATGACAGTTAAATTAAAGTTAGAGAGGAAAGATACATTCTGGAATTCAATTGCATAGTAATGAAATATAGATACTGATAATTAACTGCATTTTAAAATCTGGAAGAAGGGGCTGGAGAAATGGCTCAGCGGTTAAGAGCACTGACTGCTCTTGCAGAGGACCCAGGTTCAATTCCTAGCCCCACATGGCAGCTACAAACCGTCCTTAACTCCAGGTCCAGGGGAATCTGAAGCCCTCTTCTGACCTCCGTGGCATTGCACAACATGGGTGCACTCACAATGCAGGCAACACACTCATACACTTAAAATAAAAATAATAAAATATTTTTTTTAATCTGGAAGAAAAGATTTTGAGTGTCTTCACAAATAAAGAACATGTTTGAATAGATAGATATGCATACCTTGCTATGAATAGTATACAATATATATGTTACAAACATTACATAATATCCTATACATATAAACATGTTTCACTCGTCATTCAGCAAATATGCTAGATTCAAAGATAGGGCAAGCCAGTTATGTTGTCATTTGCCTGTAATCCCAGCTACTCATGAGGTCGAGGTGGGAAGATTATTGCAGAATAGCATCACAGATGAGAAAAGTATGTGCTAGTCCTGTAAAACCTCAAAAAGTCTAACTGTGGGACTCATTGGGATCACTACATCCAGGAAACTTCATTTCACCATGAAAACTTATAGACACCAAAGCACATCTCCCATATCCTGTGTTGTGTGTTTTTAGTAAGAGGGGACTTTTCATCTGCAGGCATTGGATGGCTTCATTGAACCATTCTGGTACCATGATAGTCATTTTACAGATGGGTAAAGAGAAAGTGCGGTCCCTTGATGACTGACACAGAGGCCAGAGAGTTTGCAGAAACCTGAAATCTCTGCTGCTAAAAACTGACAGAATGATGCTCTTTCATTTTAACAGATCTGCACCATTGACTTGCTGATTCTTTGAGAAGACTTCAAGCTGTCACATGTGCCATTTTAAAAAAAGGCAACAGGTTACAGAAATAGGAACTCCTGTGGGATTTTGTTTGTATCTAAACAAAGAAGCCCAATGAGGCTGACAAAAGGGCAAAGTAGACCACAATGCCAGGGGATTCTGCGTCACAGTGAAGGACTGTTAACCACACATAGAAGTCCAACTGCACATGAAATACCATCTCGCCTGTATCTATCTCCCCGCACCATGTCTCTGGCTGCTACTTTGGGCAGCAGGCTTCCCAAATGAAATGAGAATAATTGTCTAGAAAGTGAGTGTAAAGAATCAGCCATGTGGATCCTGCCTGCAGGGATCACTCTGACAGGGTCAGCTACCAATCATTCCCCTGGAAGGAGGAGGAGACAGTGTACAGAACTCCACTCAGGGAGACAAAGGGGTTTGACAGATATGGACACAAACTGACATCCCAGTTCATACCTCTAACAACTCCTTATTCATCCCTCATCATAACAAGACTCCTACCACCTAAACTGGAGCTTTCTATAGTCAAGCTGCAGGAACCCAGATGTCTGCACATAGTTTTCACAGCTCATGTCCTTTTCATAAAACATGATCATATCTTGGTTACTTAACCTAATGGAATGGAACACATTTATGAAAAATATACATCAATAAGACACTGCCTAATTCATATCCTTCTAAATATAATTTAGATGCAAACATATAATCTTTGTCTATACACAGTACATAAACACTATTCAGAACCATGGATATTCATTCTGATAATCTTAACCTGTCAAATCAATCAAAACAATTAGATCTGCTTATACGTTCTAACATAATCATACATAAAAATTTAGCAACTCGGGCTGGTGAAACGGCTCAATGGTAAAAGCACTTTCCACCAAGTACAAGAACCTGAATTTGATCTCCAGAATCCACACGGTAGGAGGGAACCACCTCCTAAAAGCTGTCCACACACACACACACACACACACACACACACACACACACACACACAATCAGTAAATAAGTAAATGTAATAATTTTAATTAGTGACTTATATTCACATACTTATACAATTCTGGAAATACAAAACAAATGAAAAATCTGAAATAGAAGGAGGAATTTTCTAAGAATAAGAGAGCAAAATATTAGAATTCTAAATGAATTTATTATTTAGTTTTAAGGCAGACTTTTTAAATTACTGGATTTATTTCTCGGTGGCAATCCCTTCTTCTCTTATGTAAATCCTTGAACTTTATACAACCTCCTCCTCATCCATCCTATTGGCCTTTAATATATCTGTGCTTTACCAATTCTCAAACTTTTATCTAAGATCAAAAATATATGCCTGTGTTTTCTCTGAGTCACGAACGAATCCTCTAGATAAACATCAGGGTTACAACATAGACACATTAGAAATATTAACCCAACCTGAGAAAATTTTGGCAACTAATGGGTGTTGACAGGGAGAGAGTCTCTTTCAAGGATGGGATGCTTGGTAGGTTAACCAGCCTTCAGTGGATGGACCCACACTGAAGAACATTTTGAACACAAATTAGACTCCATAGGCCTTATTTTATATATAATTAAATAGGACAGGGGCAATAAGAAGAGGTGTAGATGGGGGAGGAGATCTAAATACCATCAAATTATATTTCATAAAAATCACAAAAATTCATTTAAAAAAAAACAGAGTTAATAACATTCCAAGCTGCATCCAATACTACTCATTACAAGACAAAATGATATATACAGGTGCCTGTCTCAGTTTAAATTTCAATGTCTATATGACTTTAGAAAAATTACTGAACCTCCTGTGACCTCAGTTTTTTCAAAGTAATAATAGCTCCTATATCATCATGTTTTTGTGATACTCCAATAAGATATGAAGAGTTTAGAATGGAACTTGGCACACAGAAGGGGTTCAATAAAGACTTCCTAGTGTGGATGGACTATTGAGATGGTTACAAAGATAAAAAGTGTATTTAACTTTGGTGTGGTAGTTTGAATGAGACTGTCCTTCATAGGCTACAAATATTTGGACACTTGGTCCCCAGTTTGTGGCACTGTTTGGGGAGGGCCACGGAACCTTTAGGAGGCATGGCCATGCTGAAGGAAGCTTGTCACTGGGGGTGGGCCTTGAGAGTTCTTAAACCTTGCAGTATTTCCCGTCTCTCTCTGCTTCCTGTGCCTGCTTGAAGATGTGATGATTCAGCTTTCTGTTCTGGCAGAAAGGCCTCCCTGCTAAGGGGAGCTCTAATCCCTCAGGAACTGTAAGGTAAATAAATTCTTCCTTTTATAAATTGCTTTGGTCAGTGTTTTTTAATCACAGCAACAGAAAAGTAACAACCACAACCAGCCTTTTTCTTATCAAGTTTTAGAGTCTTTTTTTATCAGTGAAGCAAAAGAACAAAAGCAGCTAGAGGAGAAACAAAACCAGGTTGAAAAGGCATCAGAAGTTGAAACTTAGTTTCAAAACAACATCAGATAAGAAGCTAAATTTGATGCTTATAGAGACTACCCACCAAGGTAGAAGCACTTACAACAAGCATTGGCAAAGGGATTCCTGTTTAATATTTAATATTTCTTACCTGGAACTCCACTTGATGGATTAACTCGGTACACAATGGGTGTGTATGCCTTGGAAAACTGTTTGGAAAATATTATCACAAGTGAGCATTTCATTAGAATATCCATGAACAGCCACAAACCGTTCTTCATAAAGCATTTGTGCAAATGGGTTTTTCTTTAATCAGTCCCACACCTATTTCTCTTTATCCTCATACTAGCTCCAAGAACTAAGGCTGGTAGGCACTGTTGTATTTCTCCTGCAGATGAAGCAAAGGATCCAGTCAAGGCCATACAGACCTCTATTCTGCAGCATGCCGTTCAAATCTTTGCAAGCCTGTTTCTACACTTGCCACACTAGGAAACTTTTTTAGCAAAAGGAAAGTAGGCAAGACATCATCCAGAATGTTAGTCTTTTAATTCCGTCTTTATAATTTAATGCTTTAAAGGTTTTTATTTCCCCCCAAAAAATCATTATTTAATTGGAAGGATTGTAGCTTAAATTATTGTCAGTCAGCAGGTATACAAAATGAGAAGTTGTATTTATATGGGTGAGATGCTCTTTGGAGAAAAAGAAGGTGCCTGTTGAATGGAAAAATAAGGAACAGGAAGCTACACTCTTCCTCAAGAAGGCGGTAAGGGCTAGGGACATGGCTCAGTGAATAAAGTACTTGTCATGCAAGCCTGAGGACTTGAGTTTGGATCCCCAGAACCCATATAAAGCCAGGTGTATCAATAATCCCAGTTCTCCTATGGCAAGATGGGAGATGAAGGCAAGAGAATTTCCAGATGTTCATGAGTCAGCTAGACATACAGAGCAGCAAACAACAAAGAGACCTTGCCTCAAACAAGGTAGAAGATAAAGATGGACACCCAAGTTTGTCCTCTGATCTCCACATGCTCACATGGTCATGTATACAGCCATATTCATACACATACACACACCACACACACACACACACACATATCCAAAGAAAGAAGTTAACAGCACTGATGGAAGAAATGGGAGCCTATTGAAGCTTATTCATGAACCCCAAATAAATTTATAATTTTCTTGAAACACACCTGATAACTACAGGCTTCACGAAGAAGGGACAATGCCTGATACCACTGACCTTGCTTCCCTTTGCCTAGTCTGGAATGCAGAAGGCATTCAGATTCTTGTGAATGAATGAAGTAGCCCTATCTGGGCTGTGTAATATACTGCTGAAGAGTAAAAGAGTTCAGGAAGTACATGAAGGAGAACAGCAAGGAAGAGGTTAAGAATGGTGAGGGACAAGGTATGGACATTTCTTGCAAACAAGAATGTTGGGTTCAGCAGAACGCCGCTTAGTCATAGATCAGAGAAAAACATCTTGAGTCTAAGTCATGGTACTGCAAAACATAGGATGATTGTTTAATGTTAAACATAATCACTGTCTGACTAGCCTTCCTGGAAATTGATCTATAGATTGTGTAAGAAACTAATACACTCTTGAAGGCATTTAGGTTAGGCTAAGGGAAGTGTATTAACCCATCAGGAAATCATTCCAGGCAAAGAAAATGAAGGAGCATAAGGAACAGACTGAACTGACCAGGGCAAGGTTTGACCCATAAGTAAAGACCTCACCCAGAAAAAGACTTAGTTATCCCTTCTTTCTCCAGATGCCTAAACTGATCCCTTTATAAACAATCAACAAACTACAGCAAACTGTTTTGTCTGGGCTGTATCCAGCGGCCCAGGAGTCTACCTTTCTAGGGAAAATATCACCAGTGAATAACTGTAGTTAATCAACAGCCGTAATCACACATTAATAATGAACAGACTTTTCAACCAAGCTGATAGTGACCTTGCGAGTGTGGATTTTAAGTATTGATCCACAGAGAAGTACAGCTTGCCATCAAGACTATTTTCTTTATTCTCTGCCAGAAAGGTTAGAAAATAGTTCACAGAAAACATGCAGCTAGGGAGTCAAATAAGAATGTTGTGACTTCACAGATTAAGAACTGTCTGATCTCAACAAAAGATAAAGATTAATGCAGTTCCACATACACTTGCCAAGCATTCAGTCCGAGTTCTGACCTACCAGCCAATGCTCCAACTTGGCTTTCATCTCCCATGGAGGGGGAAGAAGACACTTCTTACCAAAGTTACTTCTCTTGGGATTTTATCACAGGAGACTAGTGAGGTAGAGAAGTGGTTATTGCCCTCTCTTGAACATGTTAAAAACTGAGGCAGAGACAGCAACCTAATTCAAAGGAAATGAGGAAGCATTTCTCTTGGTTTCCAACTTAAAATCTAAGACTCCATCTGTCATCCACTTAGAAGTTTGTGGGGAATACAAAGACTCCTTCACTGCTTCCTCCTCTGAGAGCACTGGGGCACACTCAGGGTTAAACCATAAGAAAAGGCTTCACTTGTGAATCTCTCTAAATTGATATAACATAAAATGGTATATTTCTAAGAGAAAACGGGCGTCTGGTCACCCACCAGGCTAGAGACAGGACAGTGAGAAATTAATGAGCTTCCAAATCAAGTTTCCTGCAGGCTGGTCCTTGAGCCCAGTGAGGTCAGCAACAGAGAGATGGGAAGGTGGGTAGATGCAGGGCAGAAACAGTGGAGTAGAAGGATAAAGCCACAGCCACCAGCTGCTTGATAAACCTTCTGTGAGTTGTTCAGACTTGTCAGTGCCCGCAGCAGGCTCTTTGGAGTGGGTTGGCAAGACGGAATTAATTTTTAATACCCATGGTTCTGTTAGTCCCAGTCCCAAAACAAAAAGAAACACTGCATTTTATTTTGCTCAGAATGTCTCTCATTAACTGTATCCCCTGGTGATAGTTCATCAACTCACCAAGCTAGTTGAGCCATTGATGGACTTGCTTTCTTTAATGTGCAATTTTAGGAAGTGTGTCTCCTCCACCTCTGTTCCTACTGATCTTTATAACAGGTAGGAAAGCTGCTATCTGAGGTGAAAGGGAGCTTGATGATGCTGTAGCGTGCTCAGATACCTCTCATCTATAATACCCCTCTGAGCCAGGGCATCCGTGGTGATGGGACTCTTAATAAGAAAGAGCAGTGTAACTTTGTTTTTTCTTTCTGCTACATTCTCACAGAGGCAAATTTCAGACAAGATAGTCTTGGGTTGAAAAACAAATTGTTCATTGAAACTGGCCAGCAAATTCCAAATTTCAAAATTTCCTACATAAAATGTGCTGTATTACAGATGAATTTAGAGTTCTAAAAGAACATCAGTTAGTGACTAAGTTTTATTATCTATAAAGGCCCCCCTCAACAGAGGTCTTTTTCAATAGGAACATTACTGAAGTTCCGCCTTTCATGAAAAGTCCAGCGTCTCACTTGCAGAGATCATTTGGGGATCTTAGACTTATCCAAACATAAAAGCCCAGTACAAATATTAAGACTATAAATTAAATCAGATTTGACACTGGTCTAAGAGAAATCTGTGTGTGTGTGTGCACGCATGTGTGTGCGTGTCTGTGTCTGTGTGTGTATCTGTGTGTGTCTGTCTGTGTCTGTGTGTGTGTCTGTGTGTGTCTGTCTGTCTGTGTGTGTGTCTGTGTGTGTGTGTCTATATGTCTGTCTGTGTGTGTGTGTCTGTGTGTGTCTGTGTGTGTGTGTCTGTGTGTCTGTCTGTGTGTCTGTCTGTGTCTGTGTGTGTGTCTGTGTGTGTGTCTGTCTGTGTCTGTGTGTGTGTCTGTGTGTGCGTGTCTGTGTGTCTGTCTGTGTGTGTGTGTCTGTGTGTGTGTGTCTGTGTGTGTGTCTGTGTGCGTGTGTGTCTGTGTGTGTGTCTGTGTCTGTGTCTGTGTCTGTCTGGGTCTGTGTCTGTGTCTGTGTCTATGTCTGTGTGTGTGTGTCTGTCTGTCTGTGTCTGTGTCTGTGTCTGTCTGTGTGTGTCTGTCTGTCTGTGTCTGTGTCTGTGTCTATGTGTGTGTGTGTATCTCCCTCTCTGTCTCTGTCTCTCTGTGTGTATCTCTCTCTCTCTGTCTTTCTATGTCTTTGTCTCTCTCTCTCTCTCTCCTTTCTCTCCTTTCTTCCTTTTTGGTCTATCTGATCTTGCAGGAGAATTCCACCAGCAAATGTGCTTTCAGACTAGTGTCAGAAAGAATAGAATAAAAAGTGTCATTGAGGGGCTGGAGCGATGGCTCAGCAGTTAAGAGCACTGACTGCTCTTGCAGAGAACCCGGATTCAAATCCCAGCACACATATGGCAGTTAGCAACCATCTGCAACTCCAGTTCCAGGAGATTCGACACCCTTTCTGACCCCTGCAGGTATTGTATGACATAGGTGCACTTATGTACATGCAGGCAATGCACTCATATACATAAAGTTAAAATAACAAATAAAATATTTTAAAGGCGTCATTGAGCACAGGAAGTGAAGGTTGGGCCCCCCAAGGACCTGAAGCCCCTGAGTCTCTTCAGCGTCCTAACACTCAGCATCTGCTGAAAATGTAACACTGGTCTACCTGTGGCTCCCCTATGAGCTGCAGGTCCAGTGCATTCACAATTCCATGCAGGTTCAAATCCTAGTTCTGGCACTTACAGGGTCATGTGGTAAACATAGTGAATGCCTAACTCCTAAGTTTGTGAGCATCGTATAACACAGCACTCAGCTACAGCCTGACATGAAAGCATTGGATGGTTATTTTTCATAGGATGATAGAAACCCTATCTCTCAGTCTTTCTTCTGACCCTATAAAAGCGACATGATAGCTGATTAGTAACTTGTTATTGGTAACACATCACACTACTAGCTGACCAGCCAAACACACATTCCTCCTTCTTTAGGACCCACCTTGAAAGTACAGCTGTCTTGAAATCCTTGACATGGGCTGCCTACAATCTGTCCCCCAGAGCGTACTTCCAGAGAATACAGACCCTCCTGTGCTTCAGACAGCAGAGATCTGAAGTGAGGGCAGAAAATGGAAGTCTTTGTGAATCGGAAATCAGAAGTTCCCACTGCAAGAAGCCCACTTGACCACTTTGAACGTTTGCCCTGTGTTTGTAAAATGAACCCAACTGAACATTTCTCTATTTCACCTTTCACCACCTGTATCTACTCATGATGACTGCATTTTAAAGGCTTGATCCTCAGCAAGAGAGATTGTGTTACTTGTTTTTGTTGTTGAAAGTCCTTTAAATTTAATATTAAAGGACTGAGTCTCAGAATTATGGGCTCATAGAACTTTTTAAATTAGTAGGGATATTTTGACAGATAATCTATTCCCTGTTTCAGTTTAGGAAGAAAATTAAAGTTCCTGCTTGGTGTGGTAGTGCATGCCTGTAACCCCACTACCTATGAAGCGGGCACAAGAAGATGTGATGTCCAGAAGAAGGATTTCAATAATTTACAGAGATTGCATATAGAAATGGTAATATTTGGGTATATTGTGTTAAATAAAAGGGACACAGGGCTGAGGAAATGAAGTCGCTATTGTCACATCCTGTTCCTTTGTGTAAATTTAAAAAGATCTCCTGTTCGAGATGAGTTGAAAAAAATGCGTGTGTGCATGCATATATATCCTGCAGATGAGTGATAAAAAGGAGTTGACTCTTCCTTATTCACAGAAGGGAAAGATTACACTAAACTAGATGTTCAGAGAAGTGGGGATGGGCATTAAAAGTGTGATTGGTGCATTTCAGGAAACAAAACAGAAAGGGTTAGCCTGTCTGGAAGAACAGAAGACAAAGGAAAGTGTCAATGTTATGCAGTGTTTCTAAGACACACATAAAGAAAGAGCTGATAAAAACTTCACAGACCACCAGATTTGGGTAGAGGAGCAGGTTACTAGGTTACTTCAATTTCTACACCAATGTTTCCTACACACAGGTAATAACAGGCTAAATAAGCAAGCAATACATTTATTTCCCAAATTTTTTTAGATATATGCACAATTCTTGCCATCACACCTATTCCAAATGACAAGTACTTTAGTTCCAAAATGGTAGGCATTGAAATCTTAATAGCAATACAAGTTCTTGAAACAAGCAAATGGAAACAGAATCCAGCCGTCCCTTATTCTACTCCTTTATCTTGGACCTCCTCTTTTTTTGTTACTTGATAATTTCAGACATTTATATTGTAAATTTAGTCATTTCCACCCTCCACCATTCCCCTCTCCATTCCTCTTTTTCTCCTGCTGGAACCATTTTTCCTCCACACATTCCCTTCCAGTTCCATGCCTCTTTTTTGGGTGTGGTCCACTGAATTTAATTAGGAGGTTATTTACGAATCAGTACCTACATCCACTCAAGAAAATGACAAGTATACCTAGTCTGGCATGTCACCACAGGCAAATCCAAGAAGACAGGAGAAACATCACAGGGGATCTTTGGCAGGGCAGGCAACACCATGTTCACTAGGTCTATCTCCAGCTGAGAGCCGTTGGTGGGGTAAAGAACACTTCTCTCCAAATCTAAACACAAGGGACAGGAGAAATCTCAGGCCAAGTAGGTATAATTCACAAGGGGCAGTGCAAACATTGGCCACATGAGGGCAGTGTAAGACACTCAGTTTGCCAGAGGATTAAATAACTCACTTCCAAAGGCATTTATGAGGGTTATGTAAAAACATTTTCTATTTATGAGCTTATAAAGTAGTTTTCTCTCAAGTCTGCCTACCTCCAGGAAAGAGTTTTCCAACCCTCAAAGTTACTTTACACCATCGTAGAAATGGGTATGCTAAGGCATGATTTAGCAGCTCCCACCTACAGAATCATTTATAAGGATAGCAGTCAACATACTGCAAGAACTCTGCCACATACTTTCATATCAACTCATTTATGGTTCCACCAAGAGGATGTTGATGTGACAAGGACCTCTGCTATGACATTAGCTAATCAGCATCTTTAAAGACAGAACTGAGTCAGTCTGTCCAAATCCCTCAAGGCTTCCTTTCCACCTGTTCTTAGCCAGTGAAGCAAGAATTCATATTTCTTTTTTACTTTGAATCAATAAATACAATACTCATATTTAGGGAAGTCCACACTTACCATTAAAAATAACTGTGATCCATGTTCCTCCTGCAAGGCTGCCTTCAACAGGATCAATGTGGAAACTCAGGTGAGGTTCTGTAAACAAGACAAAACATTGCCTTTAGAAGTCATTTTCAATCCACTAGCATCACAAATACTTTAAAGCAAAATTTAGCATGTATAAGACTAATCAAAAGGGCTGGATAAGGGGCAGGTTACTGAACCTTAACCACAGAGTTTTTAGTTCAGAATGTGTACTTCAAATCAGAGACTGCTGGTCCAGGGCATACACATTCAGTACCCCACTTTAAGGAAAACTGATCCCTCTCGATTGAGACATCCAGAATCCCAGTGATCATCAACACAATCCTGAATTGCAATTTCCTTTTTTCCATTTCCTTTGCAGCAGCATGGAGGACACATTTGGTTCTTTTAAATACATTTTTAATTTACCACCATGCCTGGCCTTCCCTGTTGTTTTATAGGAGTTTTATTGTTTTGTTTTGTGTGAGGGTGTTATTGTTACTTGTTTGGGGTTTTGTTGTTTATTAAAAAATATATGTGTGTGTGTGTGTGTGTGTGTGTGTGTGTGTGTGCATGTAAATGCAGATGCCCTTGGATGCCAAAAGCATTGGATCCAGAGAGACAAGTGATTGTGAGCCACCCAATGTGAGTGTTGGGTAATGAACTCAGGTCCTTGGGGAGAGCACTATACCTGCTCTTAACTGCTGAGCCATCTCTCCAGCCCCACATTTGGTTCTTAAACCCAAATCTCTCATTGCCTCTCTTCTCTTTCTCGATGTTTAATCAGTAGTCATATTTAAGTATAAAGATCATCAGTTCAAGGAAACTAGAAAAATTTTCTCATCCTTTCCATGCAGTAATTAGCAAGGAAAGCATTATCTACAGAACACTGTTTGATTTCTGTGTCACAAAATTTCAAGGATAAACCAGACCATGTTGCTTGTGAGCTAGCCCAGGACATCCATATAAAGCAGTTAGACAGGTGACTCACTACACACCTAAGGATGGTGGGGCTCCACTCACATCAATGTGTCATCACAGCAGCCCAAACTGGATCACATGATCCCTAGCCCCCAGAGATGATTAGATACTTTTATCCAAAGAAAACAAAAATGAATACCACAAGAAGATGCAGAGGATGACCAGATTCACAGAGAAAAACTGGAAGCATGATTTGAGATTACATTTTAACACAAGCAGTTATTAATCACTAAGATAAGTTACCCCTTAGGGAAAACAGACCAATATAATATACTAAGAATTATATCAACTAGCCCTAAAAAGGATTATAAAAGAGGAAGTTATAAGTTATTATTAAAAGATTTGAATTGTAACAGCAACCTCCATTGGTCATTAAAAGTCAAAATATTCATAACACTTTAACAAATAACTTCAGATATTAATCAGAAAAAAATAACTATTAAACAGAAATTTCAGACTCAGATGTAGATACTTCAACATTTCCTTCCAAAATAATGGTTTTAGCTTATATTTTAAGCAGGCAAGTGAAAACTGTATGTATTTATGGTATATAACCAAAGCAATACTTTTAACTCTTAAAGCAATCCTCAAGGTAACCTAATGAGTTGTTTTCCTTTTTTTTTTTAACCTAATGAGTTTTAATCTGAATATGTTCAAACACTTCCTACTTACCTGCTAAAATCAGTATTTCCATACTCAGGAGAGAGATTAACCAGCCAGGCATCACGTCAATGCAACTCAAGCCTCTTAAGACTGCTCAGGTATTCAAAGCATTTTTAGAGTTAAATGGCCCAAGTAGTTTTGTGCCTTATAAAACAAAATGTGAAAATACTGCTATTATTTTTTACTATATACTATCAATTTTCTGTATTGAAACAGAAAATTAGAGATGAGAAAAATACAGTGTTAACATCTTTAGAAGCACTCACCATCTTCTTAAGCTCAAGGGAAACAGATCATATAAGAAACCTAATAGAAAATCACCAGTCCTCATCTTGTTTCAATAGCCTATTTACTGCATGTTTAAGTTGGGTGAAGAATAATGATAGCAGCCATTAACTCACTAGCCGATGAACAGGGGTCTGTTTTGTTCTCCTCTAGCCTATCTTCCTAACTTTCTCTCCCATGATTCTCCAACTTGAACCCTGTTTGAGAGTTATCCCAATCCACCACTCAGACAAGACTTCTATCCATCAGTCTCTGCTGTGGCTTCTAATGGAACTTATTAGGCCAGCTCAGGATCCCATCCTCCACCAGATCTTCCCCTATCAGTTTTGTTTCCCTTGACCATCCCTCCAAACCTCCAATTCATATTCTACGAGCCCCCAGCCAGAAAATGATGTGTTACCACAGACACCTTGCCTCCAGAGCATACCCTGAAGAGACCCAGAGACCAGAGGTCCATTCTCAAAACCTTTTCGGTGTGAGGCCCCACACAGTACTCAAAGAATTTAATCCATTCACACATTTTTAAATACCCTCAATCTCAGGTTGGAGAGACCCAGTTTCAGGGAATCCGACTCCCTCTTCTGTCCTCTGTGGGCATTGCACGGCATGGGTGCACTTACATGCAGGCAATACTTTAATACACATAAAGTAAAAATAATAGATAAAAAAATGAAATATCCTGAATCTGATTTTACTGATCAAAGAGAAGTGGCTTTTCAATCGATGTGAAACAGATGGATGGAGTGCACAGAGCCTGACTGAAGCCTCTTATGCCTGCTTTAGGAATGCTGCAGAGCTGCAGGGCTGCTATCCAACACAAGCCAAAGCGAGTAAATAAATCTTCCTAATCCACTGGCTCTGAAGTTTTCTGAAAGTTACAAAAAAATTAAAAGAATAGACCCATATTATTAAATAGGCATTAATTTAGATTTCTATGAAAATACTGAAAGTAGCAACAGTTATACCATTTCAGAAAACAGAACCTCAACATAGTCTCAGAAAAAGAATGTTTGCAAAAAGCAGGCGGTAAATATATCATACAGGTATGTCCTGATTAAGCTAGCCAAAAATAGAAAATCACTTATATTTAACTCAACACTGTGAAGGTTGATAGTGTGCCCACTAGAAACTGAGCACCGTGCTAGAAGCCGGGAAAACAAACAGCCGTTTATCAAGGTGGAGATGTGGAATCTGCTTGCAGATATAAAAGGACTTCTGACATTTGCAAGAGTTCTTTAACATTGCAAATTTCCTAAGTTTTTAAGTCTATTTGAAATTTGGTTCAACTTACAAACATCCAATTTTGTGTAATATGTCTACCACTGAAGAACGGGACTAAGGAATATTCACTTCCTAACCCAAAAGCACAAGATCAGACTTGCATCTTCTACCCAGGCAAATATACTCAGTATAGAAGAACCTGTTTTCAATTTCACTACATTATCTTAACGTTTTTGTTTAATACCTAGTGCCAAGCTTATAACAAAGGAGACATGCCTCCACATGAAAGCTGTTAAAATCTATGTTAGAAATGCCTGTTTTCTTCTAAAACAGAGCAGTCACATCAGCAATAAGTACCATTTTTCTTTGTGACATCTATTACTCAATCCACTAATTCTTTCTAAGGATAAACAGTGTCCCTTTATTTCTTTAATGAGAATTTTTCAACCACAGAGAAAAACGTTGCTTATTTGGTCAAGTCCTCTTTCTGCCCTTGTCCTTCTTTCTTCTGATGCCTCTCCCTGCTCTCCTTCTCTTCCTCCCTCATCTCCCAGCTCCCCCTGCTCTAGAAGCTTAGAAGACAAAGCTTCAAGGCCCTCCTGTAGACCTCCCATTTCCTTTGGCTTCCTACAGTATTAGCAAGAGATGTAATATAGAAAACAACAGAGGCGTTTCTGAATCAAACAATACCTGCTTGTTTCTGTCTTGCTGTGATTCAAGGAAGAAATTATCTTTTCTTTCTAAATGATCTTGCTTCTCTCTGCCAAGAACTGATGGTCATTTTATGTGGTTACAGTCCAGCCTGCAGTTGCAGGTAACTCACTCACGTTGGACTATAACTCACCTAACTCGTTTCTGTCCTAGTTAAATGTTCACCAGAGAGAAAGTTCAGAAATGACCATAGGGTGAGTTTAATGATTAACATGAGCTACTTAGACTTCCAAAGAAGGGATCGCTTACATATCCCCCCGCCCCTCGCATGTGTCTCAGACAAGAATTTCAAATAAAAGTCTACCAGTGAGACAAACAGGCATTCAGTGATTGAAAGCATGTGCCAGGAAGTCATCCACTAAACGAAGAGCCCAGCAGGAGGGGCTGAGAGGACTAACACTCTTCATGAGTACTCTCTGGCTCTTCTTGAAGAGTGACGTACATATATTTTGCTATGGGCTTGATGCGGTATATTCACTAGGGGCACAGGCCTAAAGAAGTGGGGAAACTTACTTGTTCAAAGCCCTGAAAAAGGGTTAGCTACTCCAGGTCCATAGTTTCATTTCCTATTTGCCCTCCTACTCTGAATTCTTAACCAAGAAGTCCTTGGTTTTCACCATTACTTTCCAATGGTTCCCAGCCAAGAGTCTCAACACCAGTTTGTTTTCACTTGATGAAGTATCAGCAAACCAGCAGAAGGTCAAGACACCTTCATACATAGTGAACATCTGACTTATCTGTCCTTGTCCAACTATGGGGAAAACTTGATAGCTTTATTTCTACTTGAAGGAAGATTGATATATCTGAAGAACTAGACCCACCAAGATTAGATTTAACCCACAGAAGTAAAATATAACCCTGAAAGTAGTGAGAATATCCTCTACAATGGGAGAGTTTATAGAAATTCTGCTGTATATTACGGTTTGGCAACTAGTGATAAGCCCAAGGATCTTTGTAGAGCTACAGCCAGTAATGTGGAGAAAGGGTAACCAGTCTTGTTAGGGAAGAGGCCATGGGCAGGATCAAAGAAAGTCAGGATGGAAGAGAGACCAGCCGGCCATCATCTAAGGAAGCTTTTGAAATCAGTGTGGTTGGTATTGTCCATCTGGCCTGTAGATCACTCACTACCCTTCGCCTTTCTCTGTTTCTGGGAGGGTAACCTGTGTGAATTATATGACAATACTTAATGACTTCTCAGATTCATAAATCAGGAAATAGCCAAGAATTAAACGGTGATGTAGAGGGATAAAGACTTTTTTCCATTTCCATTTTCTTCCATGTTGTTGCTCTGTTGCTCTCACTCTTCCTGATGATTTTATCTCTTTCTCTTATTTTTGTTTTTGACTGACAATTTTTATTGAGTTTTCTTCAATACCTTAATCAAATTTAGACCCCATCCTATCTCCTCAGTCCCATAGCTCCCCCCTACCCCCGCCAACACACATGCCAGATTTCAGGTATTCTGTCATGTATACTAAGTCCTATCCAGTCAAGCATTTGTACCCAGATGTCCCAGTGCAAGTTCATCCACTGGGGTCTAGTCAGCCTATCTAGAGTCACTCCCTTAAAGAAAATCTACTCTCTCTCACTCCACATGAATCATTTGCCAATAGATCCTTGGCTATGGTTGGGCCCATTTCTCTAGTTCTATGCTAGGTTTTTGTCTGATTGAGTTGGCAGGAGTCTTGTACATGCTGTCACCGTTGTTGCAAGTTCATATGAGCAAGTTCCCTGAGGCCTGAAAGCCTCTGTTTCATCTTCAGACCAAGGCAAGTAACAGCTCTTGGTGTTGATAGCTTGCATGTATATGCCATCTCTTTGTGTTTTTTCTTAATCTTGGCCACCTCTTCTAGAAGTAGACTCTTGAATCATTGTTTGGTCCACATACACCATTTGTTTCTCACTGGGTCCCTAATGATGTGTGCACTCTCAGAGAAAGCTAAGTTCCCACATGGGAAAATGTATAGTTCAACATCATCAAAACCTGAGTGAAACTTCATAAATGAAATTGAAACAGGCTGGTGCTGCCTGACAGCATCTGAGTTATATATGCCATTCCCAGATTAGGTGAACATCTCTTAAGGAAAAGAACTATCTTTATCCCTCTGCACCCCCAAATATATTGCACTATACTTAAACAGACTCACTCCAAATGGAATCCAATAATAACAATCTGTTTAAAGAAAAGTATTCTGGAATAATAAGGGCAACAAAAGCAAAATGATAGAAACTAAGAGTACTCAATGCAGGGCTGGAGAGCAGGCGCAGCTCATTAAAGGCTCAGGCTCACAACCATAAAAGAATACTCAATGCCATTTGGGACTTTGAGCTTCTTTCTTTATATTTTTTGTTACATCCTCTTTGTTTGGCAACACGGTCTCTCTACAGCCCCAGCTGGCCTGGTACTTTCATAGACAGACAAGACTGGCCTCAATATCACAGAGATCCTCCTGTCTCTGCCTTACAAATTCTGAGGTTAAAGGTGTGTGCCACCATACCCAGCTGTTATATCCTCATTAATTTGTAGTCCTATTTCTGATATAAAGGGACAATAGGGCCTTCCATCTGGACTTAAGGGGAGCCCTAGAGCAAATTTTCTTGCTCTGCAGGCTCACTGCTTGAGAGATACTCAGCTGTTACCTTCACACTGCCTGTGTCATCAGAATCTTCCCCCAGGAAACCCCGCTCTCTCCTCCCTGGAATTGACCCAGCTAATTTTCCTTCTTCTTCTTCCTTGTCATGGAAGGACAAAATGAAGGCAATCAAATCCTCTCTAAGTTAATGTCACATTCATTATTATGGACTAAAATTTTGAGAGAAAATTAATCAATCCACCAGGGGTCTAACTTATGAGTAAAATAGTTATGTCAGGCTTTCTTTAGAAAGCTTTCTTTCCCACTAAGCCAAATTACTCAAAAGTAGTTTGTCGTTAATACTGCTATCTACTAAGTTCTTTTTGCTCATTAACTTAGCCTAATAACCATGATCCTACTTACCCAGATGTATTATAGTGACCTACACCTTCCTAATGAGCATCATGGAGTCCAATAAGGCCACTGGGTATCATAGGTACAGTGGTGATTTGAATGAGAATGTATACCATAGGCTCGAGTATTTGAATGCTTGGCCCCAATTGGAGGTGCTGTTTATAGAGGCTTAGGATGCATGGCCATACTGGAGGAAGCATGTTGGTAAGGAAGGCCTTGGAGAGTTCATAGTCCTAGCCCATTTCCAGTTTCACTCTCTCAAAGTAACAAATACAGGAAGAAATAGCTTATAAAATCCAGATAGCTAAACTGCTTATAGGGTACAATAGGATTGTCTGGCTATTCTAGCAACCTGGTGTCTGTGGGCACATGGTGCTGTCTACCTCAGTGATCCTGAGGGTATCACTGGACAGAGAACAAGTTCATACTAATGACACAGAATCACCAGAAAGCCATAAAATCAAGCAATTCGCCTGAACCTGGGAGTTTTCCCAGGACATAGGACTTGCTAATACAGAATTCCCAGGTTAACCAGGACGGCTGATCACCTTAAATCTAAAAATATTTTCAAAGTTAAGGGAAATTCTTCATCAATGTGATCTAATTAGACAGATCTTGTTCCAGAAAAAAACACTTTCTAAAACACTTGGCATCCGAATGGTTAGACTTTAGGTGCTCTCCCAGTTCACTTATGTGTAGTAACTCAATTCCTACTGTGTCAGACAAAACAGATGTTGCAATAGTCAAGGTTTCCTAAATCACAGAAACATTCTTTTCTTTGAATTTGGAGCATCTGTAAGAGACGTGAACAAAGCATCACATGTCGTTTTCTGAATTACACTACAGTTCCTTCTCCCTGGGTTCAGCAGAATTTAAAATAAACCGTAGCAGCAGGGAGCAACAACATGGAAGCAATTAATTTTTTCTAGTTTGATGACATGCTACCGAGGTCCAGAAGCCCAGCTGAGATTTCAGAAGTGTATCTCACACTTAGTTCTAAAATGATGAATGACATTACGTTTCTGCAACCCAGTGGAATGCTTGCTTTAACAGCAGAATGTTATAACATTGTCAAGTTTTTATAAACCTTAAATTATTTTCAAGATTGAAGAAATGTTTGCCCCCTTTCTGTCAAATGCTGCACAGCTGATCAAACAGTGTGGAGCTCGCTATCATATGGGCAATGCAAGTGAGGAAAGGCCACTTCACCTGAAAATAATGGAAGCGTCAAATAACGGGTCAAATCGCTCAGTAGGCAATTAATACAGCATAACAATCTATTCAGATATCTTCTTTGAGATGATGGATAGTGTGACACTTGTTTTTATATTTTAACTAGTCACTTTGTCAGTTCTCTCGTTAAATGGTGGGGGTGCTGAATTTCTTATCTTATTCATCTGAATAGATTTGTGACTCACTTAAAACCAGAAAGTGGCAATAACCCCACATTTGGCCACTTTCACTAAAAACTAAAGGCAAACGTATCAGGTACTTAAATTTTTTTGCCAGTACTAAGGACTGAAACTAGGGCATCAAGCATGTTTTTAAAAAAAGCACTCAAACACCAAGCTTATTTCCAGCCCTCTTTTTACTTTTTATTTTATTTTTTAATATTTTATTTTTTTATTTTATGTGTATGAATGTATTGCCTGCATGTATGTAGTACACCCATGTTGTGCAATGCTCACAGAGGCCAGAAGATGGCGTCAGATTCCCTGGAACTGGAATTAGGGATGGTTGTTAGCTGTCAGGTGGGTGCTGGGAACAAACCTTGGTCCTCCGCAAGAGCAGTGTCCCCCAGGTGACTGATTTCTCTGAGGGACAGGGCCTACTGCAGGGGATGGACTACTGAGAAGCTGTTGGGAGCCATCTTGGGATGGAAGCCGTGAGCCACGGGTAACGTGTGGTGACAGGCATGGGGCACACACAGCAGCAGCAGCCAGGTGTACTAAAGGACAGAATAGCCTGGCACTTATGGACCTGGGACAAGACCGCTGGCCCCTGAGGCATGGGCAAAAGCTAGTGGTGACTATGGGCTTGGCATGGGAGCTGTCTGATATGGCAG